TTCAAAGAACACCTAGCTTTAGGGGCTGCTAAGGAATATGGGTTAAAGCCCAGGTGTGATGTTAGGTCGCCTTTGCCTGGGGATAGAATGGCTCAGGCTCGAGACAAAGAGTTTGTTATTTTTAGAGACACCTTAAATGCCGGGGTCAGTTAGTGCCCAATGCATAGAAGATGCTCATATATTTCTTCATATCATGTAGATATCTGGGGATCTAGCCCTATGTTGACCTTTGTCAAATGGTGCTTGAGCTCAAGCAGCTCCCCCGGTTCACGTGCTTTGCCTATTTGTCAACTAAATGGAGTTTTAGGGTTTCGAGCATGCCAAGCTCGTTAAAGGGTTGGAAGGATAGATGGTTTTACGCAATTGCTCATGATCCCAACTTTCCATTCTGGTCGAGATGGGGTATCCCCGATGCTGCAAAATTTTGTGAGGGTCGGGTTTATTTTGAGTCGTTAGAGCGAGATAGGCAGATGCTCGAGGATCTCGAACCTTTAGTGCCCGATATGAAGGAAATTCTAGGGGATGAAGTTCTAGACCTTGCTGACGTTAGAGGCCTCGAGGGTAGGGCCTTATTCCTTCAATTATCAAGTTATTCTCAATGATATGGTCGGGCGAATGAGTTGTCTCTTTTTGCAGGAATGTCTTTCAATCCATCAACTTTTAGGAAATTTTTGAATGCCAAGGCTAAAGCACCCTAGCCTCAGGCCAATGTATCGACAAAAGGAAAAAAGAGACCTCGAGTCTCGAGGAGAGAGGAACAGCAAAGGGGGTCTGGTGAAACTTCCCAACCCAAGCAAGCCCGAGGCTAGTACGACAATCGACACAATCACTAAGGGAACTTCCTCCTCGACGTACCCCCGAAGTCGTAGACCTCGAGGATGTCTGCATTCCATCTGTAGCCTTGGTCATTGATGACTTTGAGAGGTGCCACCTTGTACTGAGCATAGTGGCCAAATATCGGGGACACATTGGGTTCGACGAGGGGATGAAAGCCCTCGAGTTTATGACCTTGAAGGTACAAATTCATACTTCGTTTGGTATTTTTCTCATGTATTTTTCCCGAAATTCACACAAGCTTATTCCTTTTTATAGACCCTGAGTGTTGCTCGAGGCTTCTCATTGTAAGGGATGGACGAGTCTCATAAGATGATCAGGCTTGTGGAAGCCATCGAGCAGAAGGCTGAGCGTGAAGCCATCTTGAAGGAGCGTGATGAAGCGACGAATGAGGTGAGGAAGGCTCGAGATGAAATTGGTGTCGCAAAGGACAAGGCCGAAGAGGCTAAATTGAAGCTCGAGCGTGTATATAAAGAGTACGAGGCAAAGTTGGTTGAGGCCAGGGCGCGGGGTTGGGACGAGTTCAAGACGTCCGAAGAATGTGATAAACTGAAGGCTGAGTATGCTTCGGGGGCATACCTCCATGCCTTCAAAGAAACCAGAGCTTATCTTTGAGCAAACCTTCCCAACGTTCAGCCTGACGACATGAAGGCCGTGCCCAGAATGGCAGAAACACTCGAGTTGTCTGAGTACAAGGAAGCAACTAATGAGGATGAGGTGGACGACATCGAGGAGGACGACACCGAGGTAGATGTTGAGGCCTCTGCTCCTGATGACCTAGATTAGGACTTCCCACCCCGAGCACAGTTTTTGATGTAATTTCTTTTTCTTCTTTTTCTTCTTCTTCCCTTTTTTTTTAATGTTTTGCTCAAGTACATTGCCCAAGCTTCTAGGCTATCGTTTTTTTAATCTTTTGATCAAGTAAAATGCTCGACGCTTAGTCTTGGCTTTGTGCTTCTCGATCTTTCTGTTGTTTGTCATATCGATGATCATTTTAGTTTTTTGCGCCCCGACCACATGGCCAAATCAATGCAATGAGCCTGGCTAATATAATAGCTTCGTAGCTATCCTCAAACTTTATGGATGAGGTTTCGACAATATTTTATTCTCGGCGATTAATAACTAACGATAAATAGGTATGTCTTGGTCTCGATGAATATATATGATGAATTATCTTGCCGATCGGACAGTTAATTTTAAATTATCAAGCTCGAAGACTACTTGATCAAATAATTTTTAAGTATGACCTCGACGATAATGCTATTACAATGGCTCGATGTGTAAGCTTTGTGATGAGCTTGATGATGATTTGATGAACTTACAAGTTATAAGCCCCACCATTTGTGTTTGCTCGAGGATGACAAATCTTTAGTAATAAGCTCGATGATAGCTCAATTACTTAAGAAATTGAGCTCGAGCATGGCTTCACAATCTGTTTTTGCAAGATTGACCTCGACATATAGTGTCAATTTCAAAGTATCGAGCCTGAAGACTACACCAGCAATTAAATTTTTGTAGTCTCGTGCTCGAGGACTACAGTGTTTAATTCATTCGGTAAATTGAGATCTCGAGCCCGAAGACTGTGTATTTAATTTTTGGAACTGATCTCGAGCATTATTTCGTGACTTTCTAATCCTAAATTCAACTTTTGTCGTGCTCGGGTATTTTTGGGGGTGCCGTAGGTGGCGAGTTTTAAAGTGCATGCTAGTGACATGTCTTTTTCGAGCTCATGCCCGTAGCATGTCTCGAGGTGCATGGTCGTGACAGGTCTTTTTCGAGAAACATACTTGTAGAAAATTTTAGTTGGGGCGTTCCCACCGGTTACTTCATATAAGTTTCCCTATGATCTAGAACATGCATAGGCTCTAGTAAAAGAAAGTAAAAAATGCGCGGGGCATACAAGCCCGATGAGAAATTAAACTAACTATAAGCAAGAAAAAATGCATAGGGCATGGAAGCCCAAGAAATAAAAGTAAACTTAACTAAATTAAAGGGGCAAAGTGAGGATCACTACTTGTAGTAAATCTTGAGGTTGTCAACATTCCAAGGCCTAGGTAATGGCATTCTGAGCATATCCCTCAAAATGTATGCTCCTTCTCGGACTTGTCTAATGACTTCATAAGTCCTTCCCATGCCGAGCCAAGTTTACCCGGGGCATGACACCCGGCCTAAGCCCTTCTGAGCACTAGGTCTCCAACTCCGAATCTTCTGTGTCTGACCTTGCTATTGAAGTATTTGGCCGCCCTATTATGATAGGAGGCCACTCACAATGCAACCTGTTTGCGTGCTTCTTCTAGGAGGTCAAGATGTTCAGTGGTTTCGCCAGCACTTCATAAACTTCTCAATGTTGGAAGGCTGACCTCAATTGGAATGGTGGCCTCCAACCTAAAAGCTAGCATGAATGGGGTTTCACTTGTTGTCTTGTACGAAGTTCAATAAGTCCACAATATAAAAGGTAACTTGTCGGGTAGGTTACCAAGAGCACCCTGGATCCTCGTTTGAAGGTCTTTTAGTATGATCCGGTTAGTAACCTCGGCCAGGCCATTGCTTTGAGGGTGTAAAACTGATGTTAGACGATGCTCTATCCCCAAGTTGGTGCAAAAATTCTTGAACTGTGCATTATCAAATTGTCTTCCATTGTCAGTTATGAGCACTCTAGTATCCCGAACCTACATACGACAGACTTCTCTATGAAAGACCTTAGCTTGGGCTCCGAGATTGTTGCCAGGGGTTCCGCCTCCGCCCATTTCGTAAAGTACTCTACGGCTATAGCAACAAACTTTAACTGCCCTCTTGCAAGTGGGAAGGGCCTGAGGATGTCAACCCCCCACTGTCGGAAAGGCGCCAAACTATGTATGGATGTAAGCTCTTCAGTAGGAGCATGAATGATGTTTCCAAACCTCGACACTTATCGCATTTTCTTACATATTCTAAGGCATCTTTCTTCATGGTCGACTAGTAATATCCATACTTTATGAGTTTGAAGGCCAGAGCTCTGGCTCCTTGATGATTCCCACATACTCCTTCGTGAACTTCTGCTAGAGCCTGTGCTGATTCGGAGGGCCTGAGGCATCTGAGATATGGAAGTGTAAAAATTCTGCGGAATAGGACTCCTTGGATCATGTAGTACCTTGGTGCTCTAGATCGAATGCTTCTAGCTCCATTTGGATCGTCGGGAGGTTTCCATTAGTTATGAATTCAATTAGGGGGTCCATCCAAGAGGGCTCGTTGTCAATGTCCATGATACTCAGTTTTCGACCTATGCTGGGCTCTGTCACCATCTTAATATAAATTGTCTTGTCGAGACCATCCATTCCCATAAAAACGAGCTTCGACAATGCATCTGCCTTTCCATTATCAGCCCGAGCAACTTTCAGAATTTCGCAACCCTTGGACTGCCTTCGAAGATCATGTACCTTTAAGCAGTATAAGCTCATTTTTTCCTCCTTCCTTTCGAAGGTTCCTTCAATCTGCCCAACCACAAGTTGTGAATCGCTAAAGAGCTTGACGTGTTCAATTCCCAAGTTTTTAGCAAGTTCCGGGGCGATGACGACGGCCTCGTACTCTGCCTCATTATTAGTAGCTTCAAATTCGAATATGAGTGCGCACTGTATTTCTGTCTGTTTATTCGGGCTGCTAATGATGATCCCAGCACCCGAGTCCGAGGAGTTTGTTGCTCCATGCACAAATATTTCCCATGTATTTGACTTGGAGGTCGAGGTATCGTTTGGCCCCCCGTGGCCTTGGAGTGAGCTCTACAATAAAGTCTGCCAGTACTTGCCCTTTGATAGAGGGTCTAGGCTTGAACTCTATATCAAATTCACCAAGCTCAATTGCCCACTTCAACAATCTTCCTGAAACATCTGGTTTTGAAGTATCTATCTGAGGGGTTGGTCCGTGAGCACCACAATTAGGTATGACTGGAAATATTGCCGCAATTTTTGGGCTGTCATAATCAATGCAAGGGCAAGCTATTCCACCAACGTATATCTTGTCTCTACGTCAAGTAACTCCTTGCTCATATAGTAGATGAGTTGTGACCCTTCTTCACCTCTTTCACCAGTACACCGCTTATCGCGTTTTGAGATACTGCCAGGTATAGGTACAACGAGTCCCCGGGCTTGGGCTTGGTGAGAATTGGATGAGTCGCTAATGTTTGTTTGAGCTCTTTCACATTCTTCATTCCAACTGAAGTCTTGATTCCCTCTAAGAACTTTGAAGAAAGGAAAGCACCTATCGGCTGCTCTTGACATGAACCTGTTCAAAGCTGCCACCCGACCTGTCAACTTCTGGACCTCTTTCCTAGTCCTAGGTGATTCCATGGATGTTACAGCCTGTATCTTATCGGATTCGCCTCAATCTCCTATTGCGTGATCATGAATCCCAAGAACTTTCCTGAGCCACCTCGAAAGCGCACTTTGCCGGGTTTAACTTCATCTTATATTTTCGAATAGTAGAGAACACTTCCTCTAGGTCGGCGATATTTTCGTTCACCTGCTTATTCTTCACCACCATGTCATCGACATAGGCCTCAATGTTCTTCCCAATCAGATCAACAAATACTTTGTTGATAAGCCTTTGATATGTTGCCCCTGCATTCTTCAATCTGAATGGCATGGCCTTGTAGCATATATATCAGAATCAGCTATGAAGGACGTCTTTTCTAGATCTTCTTTAGCCATGAAAATCTGGCAATAACCCGAGAACGCATCAAGCAAACTGTAAAACCTATGGCCCGAGGTATTATCCACCAAGTTATCAATTTGAGGTAGGGGATAACTATCTTTTGGGCACGCCTTGTTGAGATCTGTGAAGTCAACACATATCCTTCACTTGCCATTCGCCTTTCTGACCAGAACAATGTTGGCCAGCCAGTCTGGGTATTGAACCTCTCTGACGAATTGAGCATTAACGAGTTTACTAATCTTATCACGTATTACCTCCCCCGTCTTTCCGGAGTAAATTGCCTCCTCCTCTGTTTTACCAGCTTTGCCCCAGGCTTCACGTTAAGTCTGTGGACAATGATACCCGGATCTATCCCAGGCATATCTTCAACGTTCCATGCGAATACATCAATACTGCGAGATAAACACTTGATGAGTTCATCCCTTAGAGCGGAGTTGTATACTACGGGGGTCTGAACCGCATAGAAAGGTGTAATCTCTATTACCTGTCTCTGGCCTGAGCCCAAAGTTAGGGGAAGGTTGACAACACCTTTTGGGATGATTGTTCCTCTCCCGAATCCTTGGAGCGGGTCGGTTCTTGTAGGAGATAGAGATATACTCCTAAACCTAGGTGACCCATTGAGATATTTTCACAACGAATTAATGCAATTCATTTGGCTTAAATCAACATNTTGGAAATTGATTAAATGACGGTTAAGTGAAATCATGAATCTCAACCATTTCAACCTCCCAACTATTCTCAAATTTGAACCTTGTTTATTTTAAGTTAACTTTGTTAACTTTAGTTATTTATATATATAAATCGTTTACTCTTATCTTAAAAGCTCAAAATGAATTGTGTGTGTTTGTATTGCTAGAACTAATTCAACTTTTGTACAATTAAATAGTCATTTCTTGAGGGATCGATATCTCGGACTCTAAAAGTCAACTTTATTACTTGTACGCGACCCGTGCACTCGCGGTATATTTTCAAGCGAACAGGATGAATGGAGATTATTACCTGAACATCGAATGGATCCATCCCTGTAGTGTTGTCCCTGAGCTGGCAGTGGTGGCTGAAGAGCACCCAGATCAACCAATTGAAGGATGGTGCTGACGGATCGCGAAATGGTTGCGTTTTCTTTGCTGGAAAGAGGGGCGTTTTGGTTTCTACAAATTATCTTTTTGATTCCATTGCCCACACAGTCTTCTTAGCTAGAAAGAGAACTGGAGTGAAAATCTAGGAAGGGGGAGTGGGTAATTTCCGGTTTGGCGCTTCAAAATTGAAAAAATTCAGACGCGATTTCACGTGAATCGTCGTCGGTTTGACGTTTCTGCATACAGCCACGGAGCAGTCATATTTTTCGCCAGGTGAAGAACAACCTTCGCATCGGTGCGGCTGAAGATTGAAACAGTGATGGGAAAACGGAAGCTTGATAGCTGGAATCGTCTACTCTTGACTGTGGAAATCTTCAAGGTGTGAGAGTAGGTGAGAGTAAAGTTTGTTAGTTTGGTAGGTGAAGTGTGCATTTGGTTAATGACAGGGGCAAAATTGCCCATTTCCATTGCTACCTCACAGGGATTGTACGTTTCATGTCAGGGGAATTGTTCTAACGTTCAAAAAAATTCTTCTATTTCCGGAAAAAATGAGCCCCAAACACAGGCTAAATCTCTTCTTTTCAACCTTATAGAGATACCTCATTTTTTGGGGGGCATACCAACATCTTCAGGGCATACCAACATCTTCAAGGCATTGTCCAATACAAATCTATTAAATCAATCTGGATTCACGTAGTCAAGACATGCTATCTTACCATGCTCGTACACAAAATTATGCATCTTGGCGAATAATATACCACTATAGTGTAGTTTTACGGTAAAATAAGTAGAATTTTCTGATATAAAACAAATTCAATCAAAATGATCATTTGACCCAAACCTTAGTCTCACAATATATGAATGCATAATGTGAATATATAGCTATTGCACGTTTTATGGTACACCCAAATCTATAAAATGGTAAACAACATGCAATATTGCAGTAGAAGAAACCACATCACGGCTTAGTGCGTAACAAAGAGGCCCATTATTTTCAGAAAATTGTTTAAAAAAAAAAAGAAATATTCACCGTAGACAGGAGCAGGAAGATGGCATTGTATGTGACAATTAAAATTTTCAACATTGTTATATGATTCATGACTTTCTTCATCGGAAATTGTAGAAGATGAACGTTTATCTTTCTCTCTATACGTGAATAGGCGAGTGAGAAATAATTGGTTAATTTTCAATTTTTAAATCAAATAAGAAATACCGATTGGATGAAATTGTCCCTCCATAAAAGGGTCAATATACTTGATTTTCCAAGTCAATTGACGGTGTTTTGGATGAGTTCTGTTTAAAGGGATCCATCTGCATATTTATGAAAGGTTAGAGACCTACTCTGGCACACAATGAAATGCAGGGTAAAGTTTACAAAAATAAAAAAATTAAGGACCGTTGCTGCAATTTTCCCTAAACTTTTTAAGCTTTACCAAACATGTCGTTACCAGCTAGGCAGCTAGTAGTGTCTTACTTTTAAAGCAGAGTCCTGACTGGCCACTACTCACTACTCATATTTTAGTCCCCTCTGTCTGAGTTTGAAAAGCCCTAGAGTTCAAGAAGGCTTCTCTGCATTTCCGAGGTTCTTCTCTCCCTTTTTTTCTTCGTATATCAGAAGAATTTTGTAATGTTCTTTCTGCGTCTTTGTTCGTTTATTTTTAGATTTTTGATCTTTACACTTTGTATTGATGTCGTTGTTTTTCGATCTCAAATCGTTGAAATTTGAATAACTTACTCAGAAATTACGATGACACGACTAGGAGAGCATTTTTTTTTTTAGCTTTATATGGGTTTAGTTGTATATTGAAGTACAGACTGCTAATTTTTAATTTTTGCTGGGGACATTTTTGATAGTTAAATGCTATGTCCAGTGTCCTCTTTATGCGTCTCTGTTACTTTATTTTTTAGGTTCTTGATCTTGCTATTTGCTAAAATTTTCTCTACATAATTTTTGTTTTGGGTTTTCAAAAAATATTTGAGGAAAAATAATTGATAAGGGCTTTCCGGATAATAGAGTTTTATTAAATCTAAAATGAAAGTATATGTTCCAATGGAGATATGAACTAGTTTGCATGAAGTGCCCTAACAGGAAATTTAAGAGCAGCAGTTGTATTTTCTTTTGTTTGCTTATTCTTTTGAAATTAAAGTGTTTTTTTTTTCTTCCTTAAATGTGAAGATTTATTTATTATCTGAATTTTTTACAAACATTTATCTTTCTTTGTACACTGGGAAAGAAATGCCTAAACATTTATAATAAATGTGAGGATCTATGATGCACCGATGTCGGACACGCGATTTAAAAAAAAAAGAACAGACACGACACGTCATTGACATATTGATTAAATTCTTAAAAATTTTCATTTATATAATATAAATTTAGTTTTATACTTGTTATTAATTTTTCTTGTTGAAATCTTTTAAACATGAGTACCTATTTGTTACTTACTAATAACTTTGAAGTAACAATATATAATATTTCTAATATAAAAAGAACAATTATTACAGTAAAGTGTCTGAGAAGTGTCATTATCGACTCGTGTCGGACACCTTGCCTAATTGAAGTGTTTGTGCTACAGAGGTGAGGATTTATTTGTGCTTTCAAATAATCATTTACCTCATTTTCAAAATAAAAATAAAAATATAAAAATAGTCATTTATCTGAGATCTTTAAGCTAATGAATTAAAACAAAAAGCGAATACACAGGATAAATTCTGATAAAATCATTCTTGGACTTTTATGGATTAAAAACATTTTCATTTGACAATGAGATCTGTCAGAAAATAGTGGCAAGAAATCCATTAGGCTGCAAATTATGTAGTTAATGAAGCTTTTCTTTTCTTTCCAAATCATATATATATTTCAGTGATCTAGACGAGGAAAATTTTATCTTTCTGCATTTGTCTCTCTTGTTTCTACTTTATGTTCTACAATTTACCCTGTTAAAAGAGCTTACACCATACCCAGATATAAGCTTAACAAGAAAATATAATGTTCCAATCTGCTTTTTTCTATACTTTCCTTTGTGGATGAAACAGAGAATAGAATCGAAATATTAGTTTCTCTTGCTATCTCAAATTCAATTTTTCTAATCCAAATTTCAGATTCTGTGGAAGATGTCTTACTCATCTGAAGACGAAACAGACATAAGTGAATCTGAGTTAGACGAGTTTGTGGATAGATGCTATGAACAATTGAAGAATGCCCCTAAAAAGGTTCAGTATTCAGATGAATTATACAGGTGCCCTTACTGCCCGGGAAAGAAGAAGCTGGTCTATCCTTTTAAGGACCTTTTTCAACATGCCTCTGATGTTGGCAGTCGCTCAATGAACAGAGAAATCAAAGACAAGGGGAAGCATTTAGGACTTGTGAAGTACTTGAAAAAAGATATTGGTGGGGAAGATATATCGTCAGAATTTGCTGGATTATCTATTGAGCTTCCCACAGACGGTGCTGTAAATGACTTGTTTGTATGGCCTTGGATGGGAATTCTGGCCAATGTTGATGTTGAGTGCAGGGATGGGGTTTATCTAGATGTAAGTAGTTCAAGGCTTAGGAATGATCTGGCTAAGAAAGGGTTTAATCCAGTACGGGTTCGATTACTGAGGGAAAAGAATCAGTGTAGATATGCCATAGTGGAATTTAAGAAAGATTGGTCTGGATTCTATAACGCGATGATGTTTGAGAAGAACTTTGAAGATGATCATCATGGGAAGAAGGAATTTAACATTGCGCCATATTTGGATGATAATAAGTTGTATGGTTGGGTTGCCCGGGATGAGGACTTCAATTCCGAGGATGTATTTGGTGAATTTCTACAAAAGAATGGGGACGTGATGACTGTTGCTGATGTAGAATCACGAGAAATCCGGAAAACTGGACAACTCATCTCCAATTTGACTAACACCATTGATGTTTTGAATGCCCGTCTTGATGCGATTGAAACCTCACATCCAAACGGCCATGTCAATATAGGATGTCAGAAAGCTGAATGCTCTGATCTTTTGGCAAAGGTAAATTATTTTACTTCATCGGAGAGTAATTGTGGTTCAAACTATTGTCATTAAGTTCATGTTTCTCAATACCGTTTTCCTAGTTTTGCTTTAATTCTTCAACAACGTGCAGGATGAAGACTCTGGAGAGCTGAAGAAACTGTAGATTTGTTTTGTTGAAGACCATGTTTTGGCATATGAAATCTATGATAATGCAGCATATGGTTCAGCTGGCTGTACTGTGAATCCTCTTCCGTCTTAGTTATTTTCATGCAAGAAATGTCAACTGAAATGACTGTTGTTAATATGTGACCTCAAAGACTTATGAGTTGTTCTCTTTGTGTTTCAGTTTTGAGTTTTGAATTCATTTTGGGTTTTGGGTTTTGAGTGTCCATTTTGAGATTGTTGAAAATGTGTTCTTTTTGGCATTTTGAAAAATTACTTTGAAAATACCCAAAACGCGTGTTGAAAATTTTGACTTGATTATAACTGAAAACACTCAAAATGACAAATTTGTTCTTAGTTATTTTCATGCAAGAAATGTCAACTGAAATGACTGTTGTTAATATGTGACCTCAAAGACTTATGAGTTGTTCTCTTTGTGTTTCAGTTTTGAGTTTTGAATTCATTTTGGGTTTTGGGTTTTGAGTGTCCATTTTGAGATTGTTGAAAATGTGTTCTTTTTGACATTTTGAAAAATTATTTTGAAAACACTCAAAATATGTTTTGAAAATTTTGACTTGATTATAATTGAAAGCATAAAAAATGATAAATTTGTCGTTTTAGGTTTTCTTTGTAAATTTTTAAATTGTTTTCAAAAACGTGTTTTCGAAAATAGTATAGAGAACGCGTCTCTACTGTTTTGGAAAATCGAAAACAAAAAACAAAATAGTAAAGAGAATAGATTCTTAGTTCTTGTGCCAAGTATTCTCTTTAAATGGATTTATGGTATATTATTATTGCGATTGACTTACCAACGGCTAAAAGTAGGAATCATGAGCTGATGAACTTAGATTTAGAATATATTCTCCTCCTTATGGTGATTTCACATGATAGCCATGAGCTTTGAGGGACTTCTTCAATGGCTGATTCTAAATAAACTGAAATTCATTTACTGAACAATTGAGGGAGAGAAGAAACAACAGAATTGAAAAGACAGGTCCAACAATAAGTTAGCTTTATTTCTAATAATTTCTAGAAACCTATATACTAGAAGTTGGTGTTTCGTGCAAAATGGAGTCGGAAGAGGATGAAGATGCGGACGTAAGGTGACAGATGTTGCCTAAGCTGCCTACGTGAAAGAACCTGGTGCCTGCACCATGAGCACTCATTTTCTCGAATAATGCTATTTAGCATCGTGGTGTTAGAATACAAGTTTAGGTGATCACATTTGATAGGTCCAATTAAATGTATCATGTCTTTGCGTTTACATGTATTCATCACTAAATGTCATTTAATTGTCACTTGGTGCAAAGCACTAGGAGGGCTGAATAGCATTACTACATACTCTGTTGCTCTAGCCAAATGACACCCAAACTTTCTGTTGTGCTAGAGAATTGGGTTGTGGCCCGCACGGTGGCTATGCCAGACTTGAAGTTCTATGTTTTTAAAGATAATGTGGGAACTTTTGAAGACGAATCTCAAGGGTTTTCGGGAGTATATATGCCTAGTCACTAGACATTGACGGGTTAACACAATTTTTGAGAGAACACCAATACATCAAGTTTAGAATTGAAGATTGAAGAAGATTTCAAGGTGGAGAATGGACTTTCGACTACAAGATTCCACGAGGAATTTTCAACAATCTTTGTTTTCTCCATTAATCCTTGTCGATGTACTTAATTTCAAACAATTCAAAGTGTTTGTATAACTCCACGATGGGTAGCTGACTTTTTCTTTGGAAGATGTAGCCTAGTTTTAGTGCTTATTTCCAAATTTTGAGTTCTTAAATTATGATTTCATGTTTAATATTTATCGCTGCTTTGATTGCTTTTCATAAATTTTGCCGGTTTACGAATTGTTAGTGAATGTGTGTTGATATTGAGAGGCAAAATACCACTTAAGCACTTACAATAAAAATCATGAATTTGAATGGACGATACATATACACTTCTATAATTTGCGAGGTCTCTTGTGAATGAATGCACTTAGATTTGTCATGATATACATAGAAATATACTAAATTCTCATGTTTAACTAAGATTTTACCCGAGAGATTATCAAATACTCTAGATGAATTCAAACATCAAGACGAATGAAATAATTACCATAACTTGGTAGGCAAAATTAAATTGGATAATTATGGTGAAATCAACGCTTCTCGAAGATTACATTATTGTCACTTTAGCATTATTTTGAATTTAAACTTAGTTTAGTAAAAATCACTGAACCGTTCAAGCTTTAAATTTGATTAAGTAAAAGCTAGGATTAATTTGGTTAATAACATAGTCTTCATGGAAGCAATACTTGATTCATTATTATATTAGCAGTGGATTGTTGTTGATGAGTCAATTGCTATGCAGTTGTTAGTCGATTACTTTACGACTGCATAGTAGTCGAATACATTAGCTTTTTCGGTCTTCGTCATTGCTTGCTACTCAATTGATTGCACAATTTTGAGTTTGGTTAGTTCTGCTATCTCAATTAGCAATTCTTGAACTTCAGTAATTTTTTTATTTTCCTGCTCACTACCTAGTCCCTTGGGCGATATTGATGTATTGGGCATG